GAGAGAGAGCGAGGGAGGGAGGGAGGGAGGGAGGGAGAGAGAGAGTGTGTGTAGATGTATTTTTTATTGTTATCATGAGTATTGTTGTTAGTATTGCTGTAAAACTTTTATTATTGTTTTTATTACTACCGTTGTTGCTAATCATATCCTTAATTATCATTATTATCGTCGCCATTACTATTACTTTTATTATAATGCTGTTATTATTATTAGTATGGTTATTATTATTATTATCACCATTAATAGTATTATTATGTTTTGTTACTGCTATTGTTAATGATCATTATCATGATCATTATCATGATGATCAGTACCCTTATTATTAGCATTTTGTAGCATTATTGTTTGTAGTATTTTAATTGTTGTTGTCACTATTGATATTATTGCTATTATTAGTGTTATTATCATTGATTTTATCATTATTATATATATATACATACATATACATACAGAGAGAGAGAAAGATGTACATACACCCCCAAACCCTTGTTTGTTTGTTTGTTTGTTTGTGTGTAGTAAAACTGCTTTAAGCACCATGGTACCATGGTGAGGTCCCTGGAGATGTTGAAGGAGGCCGTTGCGCAGAACTCACGCGTGCCTTGCGCCGAGCAGCGTCTGATCTTTGAAGGGGAGCCTGGGGATCTACAAACCTGCCCATTTTAAGGGTTAGACGGTTAGACCTTATCCGAAAACCTATCGTTTTAAGGGTTCGGTTAGGCCTTCTGATTCAGGGTTCAGAACCTGCTATTTTGTAGGGTTTGGGGTCACAGGAGATGCTTCAGGAGGAGTTGCTGTCTCAACTCCTGCTGCTGCTGGGCAGCTCTCAGGAATGTGTCTTCATTTGTTATGTTACTCTTTAAGGCTGTTTTTTAACAAATGATAAGCCCAAAGAGCTAGACAAGACAGTGTTTTCATGTCGGGTAAAGGCGCTTATAGCTTAGGAGGACATGGCCAGATGGCACGACGAAAGAAATCCAGCTCGTCAAGGTGATGAAGGACATAGCAGGGACCCACATGGGCAGGTATCCGAACTGTACTTGCTCTCCGGCGGCTGACGAAGTGTGCTGGGGCTACAGCGCGATGGTTCAGAACATTTGCCCTCGATGCGGCCAGCAGATCACATCTGCGGTAAAGTCCTGGACGGATGGCTGCCGCATGAACGGCGATGCTTATGGCTGGGTGATGCTGGCGTGTGAGCACTGTGGTCTGAAGCAAAAGCACGGCTGGGACGATGCATGAATGTCCAGGATCATTATTTAAAGAATCAAATCTGTGGGCAGACGAATCACATCCACATGAACATCCTCTATGGACGGCCGCTTACATGGCGATGTGTACGGCTGGGTGAGGTTTGCACGCGAGCAGAGCTACGGCCGGGACGAACTAGGAGCTTCCGAGGATTAGCTTAGTAGCTGAATTACCGCACTCTAAGCTTTTTGGGATAATATGATCCTTTATAGAACCAAAAGTATACACTTTTTTTGCTTTTGAACTCAGCAACTAAGTCAAGTTTAGATCTTCTCAAAGGAAAGCTCTTGGCACTGCCAGGCAAATCCGGAAGCTCAGAAGCTTAGCGGCTCAAAAGTGCAAACTCGTTCATGGGCTTAGGGTTTAGGGTGTGAAATTTGGGTTTTGGGTTTAGGGTTTAGGGTTAGGCTTCATGGGTTTAGGTTCTTTCTTAAACGAGGTTCAACAAGGATGTCAGCGGCTTCTACAATCAGGCCTTATAGTAAGTGTTCTTTCAAGTTCTGGAAAGGTTTTTGTCTACAAGGGTTGTAAACGGGTAGGCCATTCTAAACTTTGTAGATACTGCAGGAGTTTTTCCAGCTGACGTGATTCGGGTTTTGTTTTCGGTTTTAGGCTTCTGGAACCCCTAAACCCGAAACACTTAAATTAGGGTTTATAAGGTTGAGGGTTTAGGGTTTAGGGCAAAGTCTTAACTATGACATTTAAGACCCTGACCCCCGACTGTAGTTTTTTTTGTTTTGGATCCCCTTTTGGCCTTTCAGGGTGTTCGGTTTCCTTATGAAGTTTCAATAATCAATAGTAGGGAAGATGGTACCATTACTTTAAGGAGATTTTGAGGATGCTCCTATAGAACCCTATAAGTGCTCTTTGAACCCTCAAACCAGAGAGACCTTCTAAGACCCTTATACACCTGCCCTAAACCCTAAACTCTGAAGCTCTTTCTGACCCTGTTGAACCTGTAAAAAAAATTCTAGACCCTAAACTTTGGAGCTCTTTCTTTGCTGATCCTTTTGAAGCTGATGGGGTTTGGGGCCTGTGAGGTTTCGGGGTGCAGAGATGAGAGCTTGGGCATGTTCTTATGGGATCCTTAAGGGAGGGGGTTCTAAGAGGGGTATATAACCCAATAATCCCCAATTCTCCCTAGGGCTCCCTTAGGTTCCCTAAGCTCCCTAAGGATCCCTAGGACCCTCCTCGCTTGAACCACCCTCTCTTAAGGACCCGATAATGTTCTGGGAGGAAGCCCCCGTCACTGTGCTGCACGACTACGCGGATGTGCCAGGCGTGGTTTCGTGCAAAGGAGTCCTCGGGGGCGTCTTAGGTTTAGGGTTACTTAGGGGTTTAGGGTTTAGTCGTAGTCTCAAGTTCAAACTATCCTGAACTGGTTTGGGTTTTGGTTTGTCTCCCAAAGTGCATGGTCATTGTAACTAAGGTCTGTCATGGGAGATAGGTTTCAGCGTGCTGCCACAAGAGCACAACCCATGGTCATGCTCTGGTTTTGCACGTTGTAAAACATGGTAATTTATTCTTCTAGCGATGTGAAAGTAAGTGATGCTATGGCCGCTGAGGGTGATCCCGACAAGACCGATAACGACACTGACGGCGATGACAACTATTATGACAGCGATGTCGACGAGGATGCCGCTGCTGATGATGATGATGGTGATGATGACTATGATGATGGTGACAATGTTGATGTTGAGAATGGGGCTGTTGTTTTTGCTGCTCATGATGATGATGACGACGGCGATGGTGGAATATGTACTACACTGAGTCTTCACCACCGCACAACCATCGGCAGATGAATTGATATGGGCCTCAGCACCAGATCGGCCAGATCTGGTTTATCAACTTCTCCATCGTCTCAAACACCGGTGCCACCATCTTCACCATTCGAAAAAATGGGGTTTAGGGTTTCAACCTTCCCATCAGCACGGTAGTTTCACAATTTTAGAGCTATGCCTTGGGCCACGACAGCTGTGGCGATCGTGACATATGTTTGGGGTTAATGGGTAGCTTTCTAAATTAGGGTCCCTTTTGAATTAGAGTCCTTGCTATAACGGTGCCGCACATTTCTTCGGGGACCTAAAACGAGACCCTAATTTAGAGAGCCACCCATATCGTTTAAGGGTCGAGGGTCGATGTTTTTTGAAAACTCATGGAATCTCTAAGCTTTAAGCCACGGCTCTCTGTCAGGAGCCCACCTAAACCCTTACAAAGCACGACGTGATCGCTAAGCTTGGTACTCTAGGTCTCCCAGTTCTCCCCTTCTTCCCTCTTAGCGGCCTTAGGTTTCTTATGAAGCTACGTCGACGTACCCCGACACCAAAACGGAGCCCTTTTTACTCCTAGGTTTCTGGAGATCCCGGGTTTCTGAGGATCCTAAGACTCAGAATCCTAATCCCGGGAACCTGGCATCTGAGCCCTAAGAGCTTAAAGCAAAACCATAGGCCCCTAAGTAGTTCCCTTTTTGGGATTACCTTATAGGATTCTAAAAAAGAAACCACAAAAAGGAACTACTTAAGAGCTTAAAGCAAAACCCTGACCTCTGAGCTCTCAACGTAAGCCCTAAGCCCTGTATCCGAGACCCTGCAGCCCCGAACTTCACTCGAAAGTCCGATACCCTGAACCCGGGAAGCCCCAAAAGAAAGCCGTAGGGTTTAGGGTTTAGGGCTTAGGGTTTAGGGTTTAGGGTTTAGGGCCCGAAACCCTTAAACCCCTAAACCCGCAAGCCTTAGAACTCTAAACCCCTAGACCCCTCCCCAAGGTGCCCGCCCCCTCGGCGAGAGTGGGCTCTTCGTGAGCGGAAGCATAGCCAAGGCCAGGCTGGATTTTGTAGGAGGGCTTAGGGTTTAGGGTTTAGGGTTGCTTCTAGGGATAGTATACACTTCTTGTTCCCATCTAGGGGTTTTGAGGATAAAGGCTGATCGGGATAATGTGCACTTATTGTTCCCATCTGACAAACGCAGGTTGGGGCAATATGCACTTCTTGTTCCCATGTAAGGCTTGTTTGAGGAAAAAGGGCTTATAAGGATACTATGCACTTGTTCTTTGCCATTTAGGGCTTTTTGTGAGGATAAAAGACTTATAATAGAGAGACTATGGGAGACTATGCGCTTCGTGTTTTCCACTTGGGGCTTTTTCGAGGATAAAGGACTTATAATAGGGAGAATATGCACTTCTTGTTGTCCATTTGGGTTTTTATGTTGAGGATAAAAGGCTGATAGGGATACTGTGCACTTCTGTTACTTTCTTAGGGCGGTTTTACGAAGATAAATGGCTTATATGGATAAAATGCACTTCTTGTTTACCATGTTGGGCCGTGTTTTAAGACAGGGCTCACAAGGATAATGTCCACTTTTTGTTGTTCCCATGTCGAGATTTATGAGGATAAAATAGGACTTTTTTATGGGGCTTGGGCTTTTTAGGCTTTGTACGGATAAACGAAGCACGCCTTTTTCCTCTTGAGGGTTTAGGGCGTATCGTTTGGAAGGCTTTTGCTTTACATTTTTAGTCTTTGTTCTTAAGACAGGGTTCGGCACTCGAAGTCTCAAAGATCTCGGACCAGTAACTAGCTATTCCGCTATGGGTGACATTGCTAGATCTTAGTCATTACTGGATTTCTTGGGGCTGGGTCAAAAATAGCGTTTAGAAGGGATTCTGCGTGCCATGTTGCAAATGAAAACCCTAAATCCCTAAACCCTATAAGTTTTAGTAGGGATCCGTTGTGAGGGGACCATGATGGAGCGATATTGCACTCTCTATACTCCTCTACAGCAATCCCCATGCAAACGGGACCCGAATTAAGTAGTTTGGGAGTTGCTTGGGAGTCGAAGGGTTCAAATTAAAGTAGCATAATTACTTTTTGTAGTTACTTTTCTCTTCCGCAAGGGTTTTAGGGTTCAGGGTTTAGGGTTTTGGCATTCTGATCGTCATTGTGCTGGTGATGCTTTTATCATCTCCTTGCCCCCGCGTGCCAGGCGCGCGATTGGCTCCAAAGTGGCGTCGGCTCCTCACTCCGTCGCAGCCTAAGGTCCAAAGACAGACTCCAATTTCATGGCGAGCTAGAGTTGATCCCAGGCCACCCCCCCACCTCCGCCTTCAGCTACGCCACGTGGGTATAGTTCTCTAAATTAGGGTCCCTCGTTTAGGTTCCCAAGATAACACGGCACCTAAGAGGGACCCTACTTTAGACAACTACCCACATGTTTCAGGTAGGGACCCCCTCCCCACCCTTCCTGCCTTAGGGCTTCGAAGGCTGGGGCTGCATGGCACTGCGGGATCGGTTGTGTGGCCGTGGGCTGGGACTCCCGGAGAGGCCACTACTCCGTATGGAAGGAATATACCTGAAATTATAAGGGACTTGATCTGATGATTTAAAAGTTATCTTCCTTACTTGAGGCGTTTTGGTCTCTTGGAGGCTCTTTGGGGAAGCATCTCCGATAAACTATCCCGGCTGAAACCCAGAAACCTACACTTTGTGGAAATCCCCAAGCTGTTTAAACTCTTCGACACTCCAAGCAAATATCGGTCTATAAGACGTGCTAGCTACGCGACTGTTGCAGGCCCTAAACACCGCACGTTTTCACGTTTTCATATCCGAAACAATACATCCTGGACTCCTCGTGGTCTCCTGGTGGGTGTGATCGTCCTGGTCGTAGTGGTCGACCTCTTGATGATTCTCAACGCCGTTGTCTGAAATCTTCTGGAAAACCCCAGAAATGCCTAAAACGCCCTGTTCCTCCTACCTGGGCCAGCCTAAACTCTAAACCCTAAATCCTAAACCCCTAAAGCCCTATAAACCCCTAAACCCTATAAACCACTATAAACCCCTGACTTTTTTATTACGGCAAAAGGCCCTCAAAAAAGAAAACAAAACCACAAAACCCTGACCCCTTTTTTTTGTTAAAACACACCTGGCCCTTAATTCCTAAAACCCCAGACCCCTAAAACCCTATAAACCCCTGACTTTTTTTTGAGAAACATCTGGCCCT